CAAAAATTTTTAAGGCCCAACATTATATATGTCTCTTAATCTACTACTTCCGTCGGAATGTACTTGTTCAGTTTGATTTTTTTGAGTTCAACAAACTTTGAACTCATTTTTAGGATAGATGTTACTATAGTATACTTCTATTTGGGTTGATTTTTGTTGATAGTTGAGATACCGAACATCATCACTATAAAGTAATGGACCAGATTGTCTTAGAAAATTTATATTTTTAGATGAATCGTATCCAAGAGGGCCCTTTACAACTAGCATCACTTGATAAGAGATAATTTGACTTTATACATAGATTGGTTGTAAGGACTAGAACCACGTGTAGAGACACTATGCTTAGTATATTTGTCTCCCAATTTAGTTCCTAAGAATCGAACTCGAGTATTATTCCCTAGGCATCTCTTATCTTGCAAACTGTGAAATGCCCACCCACAGAAATTTTACATCTTCTCGTGTAAGATGAACTTGATCTCTACAGATATCAGGATAAAAACTTAAATCCTAGTTTATATGTCCTCTGTTCCAAAACAATGTATACTTTAACCATTTTGAGTCTCTTGATAAATTTTGTTTAGTCGTGAGTTTTCATTAGTTATTTGGTAAAATAAATTATGTCACAATTTGTATTGTAGATTTTTTTATATACGGAGTTATATTTAACAAAATGATCTTTTTTAAACTTGAAAACAAATTCATTTTATGAACTAGGGCACCTACACAGCTCTGTTGGTAGAATTAATGGTTCCAACCTGCAATCCTTTGCCCCTTACACCCCACCCCAACCCTCATGCCCCTCCTAAAATATCGATTTGGGCGGCCCAAATCAACAGTGTGCGGAGAGGGGGGTATAATGTGGGGTTGGGGTTGTGTGTGTTAAAAGGATAAAAACCATCTATTTTACCAATAGAGCATCGTAGAGGTGCCCAGTTCATAAAATGACTCAAGCTTTCAAGGTTAAAAGGTCTTCGTCCATTATTTAATAATGTAATTAGTATTTTTATTTATATTCTAATTTATAGATAAAATCAATTTAAATAAGATAGTACGTATTTCGCACATTAGTCGAGTGTTGTAAATCAATATAGAACGGAAAGAATTTTTATGAAAGTATGTATGAACATAATGAGGTAGTTCAACTAGTCAAGAAGGGGAAAGAAAGTTGGGATATATATTTTTGAACACTTATAGCTTTATTATAAGATAATATCTGTTTATATATTCTCAATCTATTGAAACCCATAGAGTTACTGTCTGTTATGGACTTATGGTGATCAAACACATGACCTCCTATTTGAGAAAAACTATAGCGGTGTAATTAGACTACAAGGTTTTAGGTTGTGATTGAATTTAATTGTGAACTAATAGAAGGTGACTTTTATGTGTTTTATGGAAGCCGGTGGGCGTTTCGCAGTTGGAAAGACAAGAGTGTCAAGAGGGTAAGACCCGAGTTTGATTCTTGGTAACTGCGCTGTGAGGCAATTATGCTAAGCATAGAGCCCAATAAGTACAAGGTGCATGCTCTACTCTTTACCATTAATCTGTGATTAAAGTCTAATTTACCTGCTCTCAGTAACCATCCAGCCGGGTCTGAAGGAGCCCTCAGGATGGGGCTCATCCATTTTTAATACGGAGTATGTTTTATGGAAGTGTGGCCCATGTGGGTGATAAGGCAACACACTAACAATGTAGTACCCTTCCTCAACACACCATATTATCAACCTCTAGTGTCTAAGAGTATTTGTCTAATTTTAACATTTTATAGTTGACAAATTTTGACCATATAAGATAATCTTATTAGATCTTGATGGTATAAATCAACTAGTTGACCGGGTAATAATATTCTCAAGTCCAAGATCTCCACCCGAGTGATCCCCCTTGAAGGTGACACGATTTTTCAAAATATATATTGTTTTACATAAATAATATATCATATACTCTATTTGTCTCAAATTAATTATAGCAAGTTGACTTGATAGAGATTAAGAAAAAGTTAAACGATTAATTAGGGATTAAGGGTGTAGAGAACACATGCATGAGGATGATTTTTTATTTGACCAATAAAAAAATTTGATATATCGGAATTACACGTGACGATGATTTTTTATTATTTGAACGTGCACTCCATATATGAATTTATTAACAATTTGGTTATTTTGTTTACACGTATATCATAAATACAGAATCGTAAAGGATTTTATCAACATTAATATATACGGAGTAGATACATGTTAAGGGCGTGTTTGCGTCTTTCTTACATATATGACTCACACATGCAGTTCAAATGAAGTGCAAAAGGCCAAAAGACTTGCTGTCAAATAAATAAAATAAAATAAAACAATAATACGAAGAATTTTATAATGTGTGTTTGTGTTTGGACTACCCATGTTTTCAGTTCAGGGTAAATATCATCTACTGTATTATTTAATTTATTATGTCCCATGAGACACTGAACCAAGTCATGTATATATAGCTACATACTTAGGAGCATCCACGAACTCAACACACACACACACACACTATATATATATATATAAGTTCAAAGATGAGCAGAGATGAGTCATGTGGAATGGATATAATGGCCTACAAAGTTAACTTGTTTGATTGGCCTCAGTGGTGCCACTTCTTATTGATTATTATTACCATATATGCACGTACAAGGATTTATTTAATTGGATCCCATTCACCCATTATAATATTATTGTTATCATATACCGATTAAAGTAATTAAAAAGAAAACGGGGGGGGGGGGGGGGGNGTTTCAAAAAAACTTTTAGTATTTTATACTCCTTCCCTCCCATGAAATTTTTTCATTTTGGATAAAGGTAAGATTTAAAGAATATAATGTGTAATTTTAATGTAATTTTTAAATTTTCTCCATGGGTAGAATAAGATGTTTTGAACAAATTAATAATGAATATGTATATGATGTGATAAGTAGGTTAAGAATATACTGTACTAAGTAATACTCCCTCCGTCCCAAAAAGATCGTTACGTTTCATTTCTTTGCGCATCACAAAAAGCAATGCTACTCACATCTAAAAATTCTAAAATTTACTATATTTACTCTTTATTATAAGATGAAATTGTTTTGAAAGTTTTTTTGGCATTTGAGACGATATAAAAATATTTTAAGGGATGCACAAAAAATGAAACGTAACGATCTTTTTGGGACGGAGGGAGTATAATTTAAAGGGAGATTTTAATCAAAATTCATACTCCCCTCGTCTAAAAAAAAAACTCATTTCGATGTTTTTTTAGTCAAATAGTTAAACGCTTTGACCATAAATTAAATACAATCCAAATAAATAAATGTTATACAAAAGTTTATATATCAAAACTAGATCCTAAGATGAATCCAATTATATTAAAATTATATTATAATTCAATATATTTTTCTCACAATTTATAGTCAAAGCGTGTAACTATTTGACCAAATATTATTCAAAATGAATAATGTTTTGTGGAACAAAGGAAATAATATTTTTTTGAATGGATAAAAAATGAAAATATAAATATTTTATAGAACGAAGGAGTGCGTACGCATATATAATAAAAAAATATTGGGGTTGGGCTGGTAGGACACCTCGACCCATCCTTAAGCCGCCCTGTGTACAAAGTGCAGACCAGAAACCATGCATAGCTTGGAGGCTTTGTTATTATAATCTCTTCCTCCTAAAACTTTCTTTCCGTTGCACAAAATGAAGAAGAATCTCATGTTTTTTCAATCTATTTTATTTAAATATTGGTATAGAAATAAAAATAAAACATACATATTTAAAAAACACATCAAAAGTTCAACAAAACTAGTGACAAAAATATTTTATTTTATCATATAGGCCATGAAAAAACACAAATAAATATAAATTCCCGTGAAGTTGGAATAGTGCTTTGGGAAAAAAGTTTTAGGACGGAGGGAGTAATTTTGAGAAGATTTCTCCATATATAGAGTGTATGATTGTTGTACCATACCTTCCATCTAGTGGAGCGGCCGGGTTTCATGGCCACTGGATTCCAGTGACTACGGAAGCCACTGCCCCTACGGAGCTCTGTTCATAAAATTGATGATTCCTACTCTCTCTAACCCCCGGTAAAACCCCCCGCCAAGTCCCGATCCAAACTAATCACCTCAACTACGTCAATTGCACCTCGTAAGTATAAAGTCAAAAGTTTTGACTTTAAAGTCAATTATACTTACAAGATGCAATTGACATAGTTGAGGTGATTAGTTTGGGTCGGGACTTAACGGGGGGTTTACCGGGGGGTTAGAGGGGGTAGAAATCATCAATTTTATGAACGGAACTTCGTATGGGGGCAGTGACTTCCGTAGCCACCAGAATCCAGTGGCCATGGAACCGGGTCGCTAATGTAGAGGAAAACACGGTTATAAACCAGAACTCGTATTGTGGCTCCGAACCCCGTACCGTAAGGGGCGACGGGGAACCATATCAAGAACTACCGTGGGGATGGGATGTTCTGGTTTTAACATCTTGCAACTCCGATTCCAATTTTTTTTTAAAAAAGTTTTAACGTTACCCAAATGTGAAATTGAGTGTGATGAAAACCATCATACATTTTGTTTTACAAAAAAAAGAATATAATAACGTAACAACAACAACCTAGTTGAATCCCAGAATGAAGAGTAAGTTCTCAGGAGGGTGTGTGCAAGCAGAACATATGTGAGATAACCAAAGTCTATGTGGGAGTTGAACTCAACATGCCCTTGAAATTTCCACAACCACAGCAACACAATTCCAGGGATATATATCACAAAATTAACACAGAAACGTTGTTGGAAAGTGTGTTGTAGCTTGAGGTTAGAACACACAAGATGCTACACCACCTTTCCCAACAGTCACACACACACAAGCAGAAAGCACACAAAAAAACACAGTAATTTGTTTACGCAGTTCGGAGCAATATCTCATACATCTACGAGGCCCACATTCGTGTAATAGCCTTTCCACTAGATCAACATAAGAATTACACTATCAAACCTCAACAGATCCTTCTAATGAATTTGACTTGTCTACTTACGTGATCAGATACAAAATTCGGTTCGTGTCTCTTCAGGCCTATTACACCTTCTTCTTGCTCTGCACGAAGGATGTGTCTCTGACCCTTGCTCAGCTCTCCAGGATTCAACAGCTGAACAATCCTTAGAGAAGATTTAGGATTAATCTTCTCATGCAAATCTCTCACAGATGTGTGTGTTTCGATCAGGCCTTGTTCGTGATCTCTCTCTTGAAGATGTATGAATATTAATCTGCACAACCACGTCTCTCATCCATGGATGTCTCTTTATATATTACTCACATAACCTTAGTGGAGTTAATCTGGAACTCTGTGGTGATAAGCTTGAGTACCAAACAATCCTAGTGCATCATGATTTCTTTCGTAGGATGCATCTGCTACTCCTCACGTGGCCAGAAGATACCCAATTAATGTAAATCCTCTTGATACTGGACTCCTCACAAAACCCAAGTGATATAAGTCCCAAAGATTAAGAGTCCTTGTCGTATAATAATCCTAGAACATGAAAACCTTGACAAGGATGACTGACAGGATAATACAACTTCTGACACAATAAACATGCTAACAAATCTACGGAAAAAGGTTTTTGTCAAAAAATTATGCCAACATAAATTACAACAGCACGAACTATTTGGAGCTAACAGCCCCCTCACACAAGGCCCAAATAATGGGCGTGAAACGGCTTGATGTGGCCAGTGATGGTGCCGGATAACGCCCACACACCGCCCCTCGGGGCGCCATCCGAATAAAAAACGGAGAAAGCACTTTATTCTAAATTCTCTGTGCCTTTCTCTGAGCAAATTTGCCTTTATTTTTTGAAAGCGCCCAAGACACTCGGTAATAATTATGAACACCATAATATAAGCTTCCAAAGCCAACTTTGGTTTGAACTCACCCAACAAAACCAAAATTTCAGTCAAGCGTGAAAAAGAAACACACTACACGTTATTGTGATTAGCCAGGTAGGGTATGTAATTATGTGCATGTATCCGTACACATGCTCAAATCACCAGCTGCTAAGTGTTAACCACATTAGCATGTGGAATTTTGTGTTCCCTCCCACTGTCACATTCTCACATGAGCTTATGGGGAATATTAGCTTGCAACGCCAGACTAGGCTGCCAAATTCAAGTTTTTTTCATCACCATTATGACTTTGAGTGTAATAATACCCAATACTCCGTCCTTCAAAATGGAAAATATGCCCGGGACGCGCCTCAACTGGCCGAGAGGATAGTGTTATAGGGGATAAATTCGGGTTTGAATCAAAATTCTTACACGTATCAGGAAAACATTCTTTTTTTCTTCACTAGACAGAGTTTATAACTCCACTTATGTATAGCAGAGGGGTACCCATGACATTGGAAACCCATGTCATAGGATGACCCGAGAGCGCTACGGTGCGCCGTTTGTAAAATTAACGATTCCTATCTCCTAACCCCCCGCTAAACCCCACCAACCCACCTCGATGCGAACACACTCTTCACCCTCAAGTTAATTTTGACTTTAGAGTGTTTCATTTTACTTCATCTCTCTCTTTATCCGACATCCACAAGATCATAGTTGGTGGCGTATAAACCGGAACGTACTTAAACTATATTATCCTCGTTCTTTTCAATTGACCATTATGGTTTTTCTTTATATATTAAAAAAATATGGAGTAATAAATATTTATATATGTCTGTTGGAGAATTAATACGTGTCTCGACCTCTTGTGCACCCATTCACACACTCAAAAATACAAAGATACGACTTTATTAGAAAATGACTTTGTATTATATAGAGAGATGTACAAGAGAGATTACAATTACACAAATAACAAATCTTACTCTTTGTATTAAGAACACTTCTCTAAACTTCACTCACAAGCACTCTCAAGAAGCCTTCTTGGTTCTTCACTCTCTTCTTCTGGATTGCCAAATGAGGCATCCACACCCCTATTAATACTTAGCACCAAGGGTAGGCTTTTCTAGAATACTCTACACATAATTCTAAAATATTCCATATTCTTCCACACACTTCTAGAGATTTTCATATTTCTCTAGAAAGCTGTAGAATATTTTAGAAACTTTTACACTATTCTAGAGACGTATACACTACTCTAGAAAATTCTACACATCTAGCATCATCCCTTTCACAACTCTTTGGAAATATTGAATTAATATTCTAACAATGTCTCGATTCATTCAATTCAACTTTTACTGCTCCCCCGTCACTAAATAAAATTTCTAGTTCCTAATTCATGATTACCATAGCTTTTACGGAGTATTTACTTATATATTTTCCTTAATTATTTGATAAAATAACATAATCACGCAATCTCCCTTTTTAAATATAAAACTTCCGATATAATTTTCAAATATGCAACTTTACTTCTTATTTCCATTTAATTTTCAAATAAAATAAAATTGAAAAACTATTTTTACTTTGCAAGTCTTTTCAAAAAGACGAGTGCCATCCCGGAAGAAGCCTCGGAACTGGCCAGACGGTCACATGCGAAGAGTAAATTGAGGTTTAATCACAGATCGACTGGCAAAAGGTGAAACCTACATCTTATATTTGTTGAGATCCTATGCTTAATTATATTACAGTTGCCAGGAACTTGGTGTTATCCCTTGAGCTTTGGCATTCCTTGTCTTGCCAATTGTGCTATACCTACCGGCTTTGTTAATCTTTTCAAAATGATATTGAGGAGGGGGGAGGAGAGAGAGAATCGTGGTATGAGGTACAAATATGGGTCTATCATTCAAATCCCACCACTCATTCATTCCTTCCTAGACATCAATATTATCCACAGTCCAATCCTTTAGAAAAAGGAGGATCCCAGCACATGCATTACCCACTCTTTTTTTCCTCCAAAAAAGTTAATATATGAACATTTATGGCAGTCTCTTGGCTCTTTAGTCCATTTCATTACCACAAAGCTGCTGAGAGAATGAATGAATGAAAGACCAAAGTCGGCATGTACGTATGCACCTAATTAATTTAAATATCTGTGTGGATGACCCACCTACAACAAGCATCTATATATGGGCAATTACCTTCCCCGCACCCGGGTTTGACTTTTGGCAACGATGATAAAGCGTGATTATGTTATGCATGAAATTCTTGCACGTACCAAAGAAAAAAAACGTAGTACTTATTGTCAATCATACTGAGATTATAACTTTAGTTACGTTTTTCTGACTTACTTTTCAGGATCGGTACTTGGGGCTGTCATCTAACCTTTTTTTCAATGGGTAGAGATATCCCTTTTCTATATCTAATTTTGTGTTTCCCTCTCCATCCTTTCCTCTTTGGGGTGTTTAGGCAAATTTGGTGCATGGATAGTGCCATTGCAATGAGACACTAATCAGAATGTGAAAAATGCTATTTTAAGAATATAATTGGTACAACTAGTGACACCTACCATATGTATTGTTTGTGTATTGCTTACAGCCCTTAAACAAACAATTATCATCTCTACCCGAGAACAAAATAGACGTTTCACGCACCGCCATTAAGCAAGAAAAAAAAGGTTGGAGTTTATCCTTGTGGTCCTCTAGGACAGGACTAACAGTTATTTAAGAAGAGATATGATAAATATGACATTATCTAGCAAAACAGAGTGTTTCTATGACACGTAAAAAATATTTTCTTTTTTTTAATTTTTAATTAAAATAAATGCTCATCAAGGTAGTTAATATTTGCTTATTTTCCTTATGAGTACTTCTTTGGTGCACCTTAGATGCATATCAATTTTGTGGATCTTCACACAAAATTTAAAAAAAAAAACAAATGCTTATTTAAGTAGTAAAGAAATACTACTTATTTTGCTCATATGTAGGTCCATGCATGGTAGACCTTAGGTCCATCATAGAACTTGCTTTTCTTTATATGTAAGTTCATGGTGGATCTTAGGTCCACCGTAGAATTTGTCAGCAAACAAGTTGTCAGAATTTGTTTCATGCTTTTCTTCTTTTATCTACAAACCTAGAATAAATTTTTTCTCTTAATTTGTTAACATTAAAATTATACTTCAATTTACCTCATCCCGAGATGCTAGTTAAAATGAAGTTCATTCATGGAGTAAGGAGGGCCGATCATGCAAGCTCAGCAATTAGGGGAAGATAAAAGATAGGGAAAGCAGAGAGATTTGGAAGCAATTAATTTGGTAAGAGGAATTTACATAAATAGCACTAAAACATAATGACTTTTTCTAAATAACACTACATGTGTTCTTTTCCCCATTTAGCACTTTTAGTCATTATTCATTAGTCATTATTCAAGTAAATGTTCGCCACAAATGGTCATTATGGACATTATTAAGTGTTATTTAGGAAACAAAACAATTTAAGTGGTATTTAGAGAAATGACTTAAGTTTTAGTGTTATTTAGTGCAAATATTTGATTTGGTAATAGGTACAACCCCACAAAAAATTAATTTATGAAGAGATCCATAAATCCGTTGATCTATGTACATTTTTCTTAGCTCCAACCATGCTAGATGTACCCCGAAGATTGTATTTCAAAATGTACCTCAAAGATCTATATTTTGATGGCTTATATTGATACAAAATATCAGTGCGATCCATAATTTTGTACTCACATTTTTTGCCAATATAAGTCATCTATCTCGCACTTATATTGACAGCAAATCTAAGTGTACACTTTTGAGTTATATTTTAGGATACAATCTTTGGGGTGCAAATAGATTTATCCAAATTCATACTCCATTTGTTCCATAAAAAAAGCTCACATTTCTTTTTTTAAAATTTTTTTTCCAAGAACATGTTCTAACATGTGACTCATATTTTTTTAATCTCCTCCATATCATTTTTATTAACACAATTTTATTTTTTTATATAATAACCGTCTCAATTCCATTGTGAAATCTTTTTTTTAAGACTATCATTTTCACAATGTCTCAAAATCAAGTATATGTTTCCTCACTTCTTTTATTAAAGATAAAAGCGTGAATTTACTTCTCATCTACGGAGTAGATTTTTCTTAGTATATTATCATACATAGCAATTAAAATTTCATTCCCTATTAGTATATAGTCTGTTCAGGGCCGGCCACGAAAAAATGTAAAAATGAAATTGGCCCGGTTCGAAATTTACATTTTGGGCGCTATTTTATTATTTTAGAATACCTATGTTTTAAAATTGATGATGAGTTTAAAGATGTGGAGCCCTAAAATTATAGGGAACCTGTGCGGCTGGCCACTTTGCACACCTTCCGAGCCACCCACGAGTCTATTCAATGTGGTTCTTCTCATTTAAATTTATTTTAAATGAAAAAAAAAGTAAGTGGACGAAGGAGATTGGAATAATAATAAAGAAGCATATGGCTAATGTAAGTACGGAGTATCCAATAATGGGCTTCTCTGTCCGATCCAACAGCTTCCGCCCAATGGGTAGGGTGGGGTCCATGTGATGTGCTCCCCATGTTGGAAGATAAGACTCGTGGGTGTGGTGTTCTCCGTCCCGCCTTCTAGTTAACCTCACGTCAGTTTTTTATTTTATTTTTTCAACCAGTCCATCACTGGAGGATAGGGGTATGGATCACGTCATCACCCATATTTTTTCATTTATTGAAATAAAATAGAAAAAAGATTAAAGTATACCAAATTAAGAATTTCATGTCTTTATTTCTCGAAATAAAAATTAAAATGCATTTACATTATCAATCATGACTACGTATATTACCAAAAAGTATATGTTTTATTCCTATTTAGAATGATTTCTAAATAAAAAATACTTAAATGAAAATATTAAATAAATATTTCATTAACATTAAAATAAAAATTATATTGATATAATACAAAAAAAAAGAAATAAGAGTGATAGATTGAGAAAAATATACGAGTGCTCGATGGAGAAAAATACAACAAGTTGATTACAAAATTAAATACTACGGAGTACTTAACACCTTACAAAGCGGATACAGAGTGAAAAAAATGTATGCTAGATATAGAATAGTGAAATTACTCAATACTCAAACTATCCGTGTCTGCATATATGTAAGAATAAAATATTGAAAATATATTTAAATAATAGTTTAATGTTTTTATACACGAATTAGAGTTAAAATACATTTATATTAGCAATCATAACCATGTACATTACCAAAAAGTATACTCTCTCCGTCTCAATTTTGATTACAAATTGAAAATTACAAGGTAAAATCTCACAACTTTTGAAATCATTTTTATTTACATATTGGCACATCAATAAAAAACAAAAATTATTTATTAAAAATACTATGTAAAAAATACTACAAAACAAAAGGTGACAAAAATATTTTATTTTATCAAATAGTTAATGAAAACATACAAATAAATACTCCGTAAAAGTTATCAAGAGAAGAAATAAAATAAAATTGTAATCAAAATGGGGACAAAGGGAGTATTAAAATGCACATTTACAGTGTCACATTACTGCAATGTAAACTCCCATTTAGGGAATAAAAATATGAAACTTCTATTTTAGTACATTCTTTATTTTTTATTCTTATTTAGAGTGATTTCCTTGTATTTATTGGGGTACCCTGGCTTTTTTCTGCATTTAATTAGGGATATGAGTATAAATTTGTTTAAACGTGCGGCGTAAATTGACAATTACTTTCTCCGTCCCAAATTATTTGTCACATTTCTATTAACGAGGCAAAATATCAAGTTTTTTCAATTCATTTTATTTGCATATTGGTAAAGAAATAAAAAATAAAAATTACATATCAAAAAACTACATGAAACTTTTTTTGAAATAAGAAGTGTCAATAATATTTTATTTTATCAATTAACCAATGAAAATGTCGAAACAAACAAAAGTTACCGCGACTACTGAAAAAACAAATGTTGTTAATATTTAAAAACGGAGGAATAAATGAACGAATGACCGAATGAGGCGGTAGCCCCGTGTATTTTATGGCGGAGTACTCCAATGAAATAAACTTAAAAATTAACAGGACCAGCCTGTCCCAGTTTCAATTTTGTATAAAATAGATATTACTCCATGTGCCATGTCCTTTTTTTAAAAATGTTTTTTTAATAAAAAAATCCTCTTGAAAATATTTCATCTTCTTTGTATGAAAAAATCTTAATTATCACACCCGAATAAAATTCAACAACATTAATTTATTTTCCCTAAAAGTTATTTACTCCCACGTCTCATAACAAGAGTGATATTACCAAATTTATTTATTTATTGTATCATGAAATGAGGGTAATTTTCATTATGTTTAATAATGTATTTGCTTAATCATATACTCCGTATAAAAAAGTGGTTTCGAAACAATTTTTCCTTGCTACGTTAAATTTTGGCTCGGCTAGTAACTAAAATATTACTCCATCCGTCTTAAAATATAGTAATATTACACTCTTGAAAAAACATGCTAAACCCATAACTTTTAAATAAATTAATTTTATTTACTAAATAGAATAGAAATAAAAAAATCAACTTACATATTTAAAAATGACATAAAAATTGTACAAAATAAGATATGACAAGAATATATTATTTTACTTGTTGATCAATGAAAACATGTTAATGAAAAAATTATTGATAGACTAGAATAACAATTGTTCAATTCATTTAAGTGCACAGGCATTAGAAAATAATTATGTTTGATGATTTTCAATGATCATGCCTCACTAAAATTTAAAAGCTGAACACTATGTTTGGTTCAAGAAATTTAGGAAAAAAAAGAAAAGAAAATGATTTTCTCTCAATTTACTCATCAAAATAAAAAGAATTTGGTTTTTTCTTCCTCTTAGTATATTTTGCGTTCTCATTTTCTTTTTTCCACCTTTCCTCTTTTTACCAAACAAGAAAACCTATTTTCCACTTCATTTTTTTGTCTTTTCCAATTCAAACTCCTTGTACCAAACATAGTGGAAGAGTAGTGAAGACGGACCTTTGACAAATTAGATTTAACGTTTTAAAACACTTCTATCTCCAGATAAAAGTTTCACGTTTGAGTTGACACAAAGATTAATAAAAGTAAAACTATGCAATTGAAAGAGGAGAAATTACATGGGCCACAAAAAACTTTTTCGGAAGTGAAAGATAAAGCTTTTCTTTGGAAAGACAGAAAAAAATGTGAAACATTTTTTATGAGACAGAAAAAAATTGTCTAACAATAACTTTTTGAAGTAGGGAGTAATACTTTTAAAAATTTATTTTCACAATTTAAAAACTATAAAAATGTTAGCACTAGTCACTAATGATGTTCCAAATGAAACCATCATTCAAATAGTGCTCACTATATTCCCATATACACAGTTTCACCGACAATGACATGTTTGTAGAGCTATATGACTTCTAACATTCCCTCAGAATAAAAAAACTTCGGACTTTTTTCCTCTTTAAACACATCTAAACTTTTTTGACTTATTAAACCTCATCTATGATATAGAATCAAAAAACCTCATGTATGGTAAATGTACACTACCCGTTCTCCACCATTCATTTTTATTTGATTTTTTTTTGAATTTCTTACCAATTTATGTAGATAAGAAAGGGGTGAGGGACATATGGGGTATACCAAAAGGTGTACCCCTAGCGTTTTTCTTATGAGATTTGTCCAAAACCAATGGGTTATCAAATCAGATCAATTTTAAATATATTTAAATTCGGAACGGATCAAACCACAACTTATTCCAATCAAATAAGAATCATTCAGATCAAGTGAATAGAATATAGCCTAACTCACTAATTCGCATCTTATATATTATCTCGGTCTCAAAAAACACTATCCAGTTTGACTTTAATGGAGTTTAATAAAAATGTTGAAAGTAAGAATTTCATGGTCACGCTTTTATTTAAATGAGAGTAAAATCTTGTGAGTCGCCTTGAAATAAGAAACAGAATAAGTAAAAATTACGGAGTAACTTTTTTTGGACATATCAAGTACTACCTTCTTTTTTCAGTATTTGTTTACTTTTAACTTTTTACATTCAAAATTGACAAACTTTTACAACGAATTAAATAAAAACGATACTAGATATTGATACCAAAACTAGTTTTATTACATTTATTTTTATAAAATATTTTTCAAATTTTAATTTATCTAATTAATATACCATATATTCCGTATATTTTCTTTAATTATAGATCAAAGGTTGAAGACAATTGATTGCAAAAAGTTAAAACTAGACAAGTAAAAAAAGTACTACAAATCTTCTACTAAATGTTTCGAGTGTATGATGGGGCTCTATGTCTCAACATTGGTTTTTTCCTTTTGTTAGCTTTTGATTTCATTTTCTCCCTAAATAGATAAATGACTTCTCAGTGGGCTATAAATACCCCTCCATTACCAATCTCTCCTCATGCTTCAAGCATACTTATTACAGAGTGAGTGAGTGACAGAGTAGCTGAAAATCAATAGTAGACTCCATTATTTAAAGAAACAGAGAGAGTGAGATGGCTTGTTTCCCCATTATTAACTTGGAGAAGCTTAACACTGAAGAAAGGGCTGCCACTATGGCACAAATTAAAGATGCTTGTGAAAACTGGGGATTCTTTGAGGTTTTTCTTTCTCTTGTTTTTGTCCTTTAAACAAGAAATAATGCTTCCTCCTTAATTTTATTCTTTCTCTATTTTTGTTACTCGCTCCGTCCTACAAAGACAATTATATAACGATTACGAATACGTGACTGAAATTATTTTAAATTTAGTTTTAATGAAAATTGAAGCAAAATTAAAACATACCCGGAGCATAATTTACTCTTATCTCGCAAGAATTATTTCACTTTTCTTTTCTGCCGTCCCAAAAATGTCACATTCATTTTAAGAAAAGAACATATGATTTTTTTGTTATAGGTGGTGGATCATGGGATATCAGTTGAGCTGTTGGACAGAGTGGAGAAGTTGACAAAAGAGCACTACAAGAAGAGTATGGAGGAAAGGTTCAAGGAAATGGTGGCCTCAAGGGGACTTGATGCTGTTCAGAATGAGATCAATGATCTTGACTGGGAGTCAACCTTCTTCTTGAAGCATCTCCCTTCCTCTAACATCTCCCAAGTCCCAGACCTTGAAGATGACTACAGGTCATTTNTTTTTTTGTTATAGGTGGTGGATCATGGGATATCAGTTGAGCTGTTGGACAGAGTGGAGAAGTTGACAAAAGAGCACTACAAGAAGAGTATGGAGGAAAGGTTCAAGGAAATGGTGGCCTCAAGGGGACTTGATGCTGTTCAGAATGAGATCAATGATCTTGACTGGGAGTCAACCTTCTTCTTGAAGCATCTCCCTTCCTCTAACATCTCCCAAGTCCCAGACCTTGAAGATGACTACAGGTCATTTCATAAGTCTCTAAAGATTTAATATGCAAAGAATTTACTCTGTATTTCAATATATTTTCAATACTTTCTTAATGGTACTCAAGAACCTTAAGGGAGTAAATTAATTTGGGACAAAAAAGGGAGTAATAATAACCTCAAACAAAAGTTACTGTTCTCTCCCACATTCTCGGATTCTTCCAGCTCAACAGCTCTGTTCTTACATGTGTTTTGACAGCAAGGAAGAAACTGTCCTAACACAGCCTTAAAAGAAATTTAAGGTCGACATGATCACATTAGTGATTGACGTTTCTGTCCCCACATTTTTGTTGTGCAGGAGTGTGATGAAGGAGTTTGCAAATGAGCTGGAGAAGCTGGCGGAGAAACTGTTGGACTTGTTGTGTGAGAATCTGGGGCTGGAGAAAGGGTACCTAAAGAAGGCCTTCTATGGGTCAAAGGGTCCTAACTTTGGCACCAAGGTCAGCAGCTACCCTCCTTGCCCCAACCCAGACCTCATCAAGGGCCTCCGGGCCCACACCGATGCCGGCGGCATCATCCTCCTCTTCCAGGATGACAAAGTCAGCGGCCTCCAGCTCCTCAAGGACGGCCAGTGGATCGACGTTCCCCCCATGCGCCACTCCATCGTCATAAACATTGGCGACCAGCTCGAAGTAAGTCGTAATTTGTGGTCAAAGTTTACAAAATTTGACTAAGAAAGTCAAACAGGGAAAGAAAGTTATAGACGCAGTTATTATTATTACTATTATTATTATTATTATGAATATTATTCAGGTGATAACAAACGGGAAGTACAAGAGCGTGATGCACAGAGTGATAGCGCAGACGGACGGGAACAGAATGTCGATCGCGTCGTTCTACAACCCGGGGGATGACGCGGTGATGTACCCGGCGCCGGAGCTGGTGGAGAAGGAAGCGGAGGAGGACAAGGAGAAGTACCCCAAGTTTGTGTTTGATGACTACATGAAGCTCTATGCTGGGCTCAAGTTCCAGGACAAGGAGCCCAGGTTCGAAGCCATGAAGGCCCTACAGAGCTCTCCCATTGCCACTGTTTAATGCTATCTTTTTAGCTACTGAGATTGAAGAATTATGATGATGGAATGTGATGTGATGGTGCTACACCACTCATTTAAGTCTCTGTTAAGGTTGTCTGAGGGTTATGTGTTCTTTTTTTTTTCTCTTTTTTTTTTGTAATGATTTATTGTGGTTTGAATCAATTAACAGTTTGTTCTCAGTATTTTCTTAGTGTGAATCCATATTTTCAGAGGTCTTAACGTAATTTTTATTTTAAGTTAAAATAAATAGAAAAAAAATTAATTAAGAAAACATAACACAAGAAACAGCATTACAAATAATTAAACATTAAATAATACTACGGGGTAAAATATAAAACTCTGTCCCTTAAAATGAGTCGAAATAAATTACCATATATAGAGTATATACTAAAACGTAATCCATGTCTCCATATAGAAATACATTGTTTTCAATAAAAATTCTTCGGGCTTAATTTGAAAATATGGGATATCTAATAAATAAAAAAATCATTAGAAAAAACTTGGTCTTGCGTTATGAGTGACAGGCAAAAGCAGTTAAAATGCAGAAATAAAAGTATAAAGTAATAAGTGCACCAGAGTTTATATTGATTCAAGAAATCTCTGCTCCAATACCTCGAGGTTCCTCCTTAACGATTTTGAATTAACTAATGTGCTCGTTCTGCGAATTCCATATTAGTTTGCACAAGACAAATACAAGGCACACACTAGTGGCGCTGCTACCTGGTCAAAAGCCACAATCACAATGAACAGAGCAAGATTAAAAACCACAACGCACAGAGCGACCAAAATGCACATTCGTGGCAAGTAAAAACAACCCAAAATGACCCAAACCACATAGAACGTACTACTATTTACACCGCCATTGATTCCCAAAGATCACAACACACAATGCCAACACAATGCCAACACAATGGTGGTACTGGTACACGAACTCAACTTCCCCTTTGTACAGAAAAGCAGAGGGTCCAAGTGTCCAACTTGGAGAAAGAACAAGAAACATGGTCTGCAATGAAGCCTTAAACAACATTTACTGGTTTCATTATTTATGATACATTATTTCTTCATATATTATTTGTCAATGTTTCATTTTTCCAGAAAAATGCACTACTACTAAATAACTCCAATATGCCATTGAATATATATATTCATTAACAAAGGATAAATTACTTAATACATGTAGAATAGTTCATCATCTGTTACAAAACAGAGAATCTACAATATCTAACCAATGAGCATAGAGCATGTAGAGATAGAATTTTACTAGAATGATCACTCCAACTGCCATGGGAATTGATATATGCCCTCTAGTGATTACAATTGGATAGAATTACTACTAGTCATTTTAATATGTTTGATCCAAATATATTATACTTCATAAATATGTAACCAGCCATATGCAAATATGCATCAAGAATAAAGCTCTACTTGTACACCAACAGTCACCATGGGGTGTACCCCAAGTTGTACATCACATGTTCACACCGGCAAAAAATGCTTGTGCAAAATTTTTCAATAGCACTATTATTTTGTCACAGTGTGAACCATCAAAGTGTCAGTATACAACTTGGGGTACCCCTTGGTATACATCTAGCATGGTTGATAACTTGATATATCAAATCTATAATTTAAGTGAACTATTTTCTGTCTAGAACAGATATATCATTAATTAATTGCCCATTTAGGTCATCCAATAAACCAAATCATCACCTCATATTGTACTGATCCACAAATACATCAATAAACAGAGCATAGTTGCTATGGAATCAGTGCTCAAAGAGCACAAATTAGTCATCCACGAAGTTGATGATTATCAACCAAAAAATCAAGCCAAAAAAATTGATGTTACTTGATAATTTCACAGGGAAAAAAAACTGAAAAAATTACATTTTCTCCACCGTACACAATGCCTGAGAATCGTAGTTTTTAAAATCGATAAAGTAACCACGACCTAATACCACAATAATTCAGAAGTATACAAAATTGAAGAAGTTATTGTTGAGGAAGAATGCTGAAACGGAGATTTTAGACTAATAATACGTATCATATGAATGTCAAGGCCGATGTTTACCTGGGCGAAGGAAAGGCCGGGGAAAACGAAACACTAGACAAAATGGAGAAGCCGGGCATAAGCAGTCGCCGGAGTGTGGCTGCGTTGGATAGATGTACTCGTATCATTTTTATTTAGGACTATTATTTTAGCACGCGAACCCAATATTTTTTGGATGCTACAAATTTTCATTACTCGCTTCGTTTCTCAAAACGGTTCCTCTTTTGACTTTAGTGAAAAATAAGGAAAGTGTAATTTTAGTTGACTTTCCAATTTTGCCCTTCATGTGATAGGTAAAAATAAGATATGATTGTTTAGTTATTACTGAAAAAGTATGATGTGATAGGTAGGGTATGAAAAAGTAGGGGTAAAAGTGGTTTTTTAATAGAAAAAGGAAGTGTTTTAAGAAAAACAAAAAAATGAAAGAGGAAAGGTTTTAAGAAACGGAGAGAGTATAACATTATTCCAAATTGAATAAAATAAAACATATAGGTTAAAAATGAAAGAAAATGATATAACATATGTACGAAGAGCGGTGGTCAGGGACAACTACTAACAACGACATGTGGTCTTTTATTTGGAAAATTCCGGTACCACCAAAAGTTCACAACTTTATGTGGCAAGTTCTCAACGATGTTCTGCTTGTAAGAGCCAACCTTCGAAGGTCTCAGGTGGAGGCGCCAAATGTCTGTCCTAAATGTTTCACTAATGAGGAGACCACTGTCCATAGACCACAGTTTAATATGCTACAATTTTGCTAGTGGGCTATGTATGCATACGTCAGTATGGGAGTATGGTTGAGTGGTTTGAGGAGGTTCGCCGGGCACACACAAAGGAAAGCGTTCAACAATTCTGCATGGTTTTGTGGGAGACGTGGCAACATCGGAATCAACTTGTTTGGAAGAATAGAAGCCTGAGCACGACGTGTGTGGCAGAAAGAGTTGTTCGAGGACTACAAGAGTGGCAGGCAGCACACCCAAGGTCCCGAAAAGCCTAATTGGGATCGTGGGACCGAATGCATAAATGGAGAGCACCGATGAGAGGTGTCTTAAAGTGCAATGTGGATGCAAGCTTTAACATACGCACAAGTGTGGCCCGAGTTGGATCCTCACATGTATTTATGATGGAAAATGGGAAAAATGCATGGGCTGACAGAAATGTTAACTCAAGGACCAATCGTGCAACGTTAACGTGATTTGAAGCACTATTCATGAAATTTATGAAGCTGAAGAACTAACTGTGCATGACACGATAACTTAAAGGACTAACGGTGCAGTTTAAAAATTAAGTAACTAAAATTAATTTGATAATTAGTCGTTTACAATAAAACTTATTCTTTCTGTCCTAATGTTCACATGTGAAACATGGACCTTATCACACTTTTTATAGGCTGACTAGTGAATCTTTTTTTATACCAAAAGTCTAATTCTTTTACAATAACAATGCACTAGGGTTATAAAATTAACATGAACTTTAGAATCACGGAAGAATTTGTCTCATAATAGATGATTTCTCATATTCACCTTTCAATTACTACCTCCATCATTTAGTATTTGTCTAATTTTAACCTTTTTCAGCCAACCATTTTCAATCTTTGACCTATTATTAAATAAAATATATATTGTATATTAATTAGATAAAATAATATTTTGAAAATATTTTATACAATAAAACTAATGAAACTAGTTTGTATCAATATATAATACTCCCTCCGTCCCAAAAAGATTTACACGTTTCAAAAAAATTGTGTCCCATAATCCCTTACTCATTTCTATTAAAAAACCACTTTTACCCCGTACTATTTCAAACCCTACCTATCACATCATCCTTTTTTTCTAATAATCTACACATCACATCCTACTTTTATCCATCACATCAAGGGTATCAAATATTATGTATGTAGTCCTTCTTTTATGGATACATTTCCATGTATAGTTTTTTTGTCCTTCTATTATGTTGGTGGTAAATTGAGGCCTGAGAATGTAATACACAACAATAATATATCCTTATTCTCATAGCCAATGTCAGAGGTCAATGTTAATGTGTCCTTTCTCAACTGGG